GGGGCCTTTTCTTTCCCTTCTTCCTTCTCGAGCGACTACAATTTGGTGAATTATGATTTGATCTTAGAGACCACAGAGCATGTGTCCTTTGCATCTGTTTATGATCAGAGTATATGAGTAACTTTCCCTGGAAGGAGCATTGATATATTGATTGCAACAAACATCGATTGCTATTTTCCTGTCCATTCCCTAATTACAAGCCACCTCGTTTTCATAGTGGTAACATAATCCCACACTAGCGGATAGATAATTTGGTAAGAAAACCCTAACCCAGGAAAGCTTCTGGTGCCGGTTCAAATTATCATATTTGTCATGACGGCAGCACAGGGATATTCACAACTGCTCTATTTATAATTTAGAAAAATAAAAGGGGGGAATTCCACGTTTCAGGGACGTAAAGCCTCCTTTTCAGCTTTTCAGGGAAAAAATAAAATGCCAAGAATATAGGAGGAATAATACGTGCTAGCAAATACGAAAAAAAAAACAGTTGTAACAAGTTCGCTGAAAAGTTTGGAAATCACCGCTTCAATCAAGTTTTGGAAGCAGCTGGATGGGACTGGCTCTCTGGTTTTCTTTGACGAAACCCTAACCTTGCTGTATGGAAGGAAGAATCATTGTCTCTAGGACGGGAATGTGGTACGAATGGGGAAGAAGTGAAGAAATACTTCGACAAGCCGCTCAAGAAACTTGAGGATCTTGGAATCAGGATAGAACTGCATCGAATCTTCAATGAAAGTGGTTTGCAAATGAACACACAACCTCATAAAGTGACTGCAAGAAAAGGTTTCAACACGGTGCATTCTGTCGTTCCAAAGGAAAAGGGGAAACTTGCATAATTATTGCTTGTTGCAGTGCAGCGGGTACCTGCCTCAATTTGGTATTTTCAAAGGAAAGCGACACAGGCGAGAGCTAGGTGAACGCCTGCCTCTAGGTTCCATGCTAAAGTTCAGTGAGAGCCGCTACTTATCACAGCTCTGTTTCTTGAGTTTCTGGTGTTCCTTGTTGTTGCAGTTCACTGAACAGCTGAAATGCCAGTCCTTCTAATTGTAGATGGACATGACAGTTGCCCATGGAACTGATCCCTACCTCCTGTAGTGCGTCAAGGATCACGGAATCCATTTGCTATGTCTACCTCCACATACACACCATTGGCTACAGGCAACTGATCGATATATTTTCAAGCCTCTTAAGAATTACTTATGCAAAGTAGCTCCTTCCTGTGTGAAAAACCAAAGAGGAAAAGCGTTTTCTAATCTGGAATTCTAAGGTCTTCTCGGGGACGCATGGTCAGAGCTTGTGGCATCTATCCAATCAACCCATTTGCGATTCCCAATCACGCTTTTCCCAGGGAACTCCTGGTCCGAATGAAGAAAATGTGGAAGGGACAGGGGTAACCCTCATCCGGGACCATCGGAAATTGGGACATTTTCTCTTGCCAAATGTAGCGACTTCTCACGCAAGTATTCCTCCAGATGTCGAAACTTGTCAAAATCATATGGTGCAACGTCAGGAGAATAAGGTCGGTGCTGCAATTTTTCGAAGCCAGCATCATGGCGACCACTAAAGCATTGGCCGTGTGAGCTCATTGAAAATCGCCGTGCAAAATAAGAACCGATTTCTTTAACATCCCTCAATGTTTCTTATCCTTGTATCTACGGAATCTCCCCAGTAATGCAGCATACAGGGTGGGCCATGAATATTCACATAAAATCAAAGCCTTGCCCCCCCCCCCC